AGTTGGTTTGTGTAATGATTATGCAGGACTTGAAGAGATTCGACGGTGAGGACACTCATGAACGTATTGCCGTTTGAACGTCTTGAACAAAATAACGAAATGTTTTGGATACGTTTTTCATTAAATACAAAATGTCGCTCAAGGACTGATCTGTGTTAACAACTAGTCTAACGATAGATGTGGAAGTGCTTGATGTTGCTGGCGAATTCGCTTACCTTAGATATCTGTCTAATCAGCTGTCTTTTCTGTGACTAATGAAGATTCGGTACGTGGACAAAACGCACTTTAGTTTTGTTAAGTTATAATTCCTATAGTGTGGACGAGATATCTTTCTACTTATCAAGGGACGAGTATACTGAAAACCAGTTCGGTCAGTTGTTTAGTTGTAAAACAGAGCCTTTGAAGTTAGAAGACATCCGTAGCTTATTAGCAGTTGACCCTGGATGTCTTCGAATCACCCGAAAAAAGAATTCGCTGAAGCTATCTATTTTGTTTTATAGTGTAGCTTTATATCAAATTGTCTGAGCAGTGTATTTATTTCAATTTAATATCTTTTTGTGCTTTATTTAATCAAATAAGTCGTAAGTCTAAATAGTAAATCTATTGTGGTCATTTATCTGACCGAATGGTCTGCCTGGTGACTTGAGAATGGGGGGATATATTAACAGAGTTAGTTGACAGTTTCTTTTTGAAATCCTGAGGATTTCTTTCTCTTCAGTATCATTTGTTCCTACAAGCCTAGGATAAAAAACTATGAGTCACTAACGTTCAACTTTGTCCTCCAGGTTTCGGTTTATTCCAGTAAATCATCAAGTGTAATGAATATATTCTCCGTTTTGCACACGATATTACGAAATTTTGGAAGCTGTGAAAACATTTCTATACTACTTTAAGTAGTAAAAAGTGTTGAGACAACATTTATGTAGTTGTATCATAAAAAAGCGACAAGCATTTGGTGGAAGACTCATTGCAATTTTAGTTTAATCCGTTACACGTCCTGTTGACCTGTGGTAATTGATATTATTAATCAGAAACCAGAGACTTTTAACACGGAGAAATGATATTTTTAGTTCCGAGTTGATTAAGTTACAATTTGATAGAAACAGTTTATCGTATGTTATTGAACAATGTTTTCGTACACTAACTTTCATAGTTACTTAGTACATCGCCTGAATGTCTAGAGAACGTATCTCCAAGATACCACTCACATCATTTTTGCCATTTGTACTATATTCAGATAGGTGGGATCATCAGCATTGCAGACTAGAATTAGAGCACTTTGGATCGAACTAGTCATAATGGTCAGAAACGATGAGTTTGTAAATTTCCGTCGCTAAAATGTTCGTTAACAGTTAGTCTATTGCTTCATGATTATTTATAGAGGATATTCGTATGTTACTAGTATTCAATCGTAGTTGTCTGCAAAACATTCGTGTATTTTGGGACAACCGAGTAAGCAATGCCTAGGTTAAGAATAGGGTACTAGGTAAGAACGGCAAATCGATTGATGTTATGGTAAATCTTCATCAACTGAGGTGGTTGTGACATGTATTACATATGACTAACCCCGAATATTTCGATAAACGATGTTGTCTGGTACAGGAGTGGGCTGGAAGGAAGCTAGGGGTGGTCAAACCAAAACATTGCACAGGTCCACGAAGTCATCGACAATAAGACTAAAGGATGCTAATGGGTGTGGACTACCTGGTTGGGATCTGTGTGAATGTCGTTATCGATGGTTAGAGACTTTGAATTTCATGGCTCAAAACCACTTACAAAGGCTTAGTTATATCCACTCTTTGTCTTTCTCCATATTCTGAGCTCTTGAATTCTTCATAACTTTCCTTGTGCGTTCATCCCACTAATTTATATTTTTTCGAACCGTATCGTCGATGCCTAATCTTTCCTATTACCACTGATATTGTTACTACTTTTACTGTTCTGGGATTCGGCCTGGGAATTTAATCTTGGTATACTAATGGGGTATGGCAATTTAAACTGATGTACAGACGTACCATGTCCTGTGTTGCAACCGACTGACTGAACAGATATCAGATTTTCGAAACATTTTCTCTACTAGGTGTTGATCATGGTGAGAGAATGTTGCTGATGACGAGGTTTAACTAAAACAAAACAGTTCATTACTATTCATGAATGGAATTGAATATAAGTTTTTAAATGCAAAAACTTACAAATTCTATGATTTACTCAAGTTATGAATGTAGTTCAAGCAGTTCGTGACAAACCTAGTAAACTAATACATCATATTCGTAATATTTGACCCATAAACCCATGCCATTTAAAGACTGAGTGATCGCTACGTATTTAATATCTTACAAATCAATAGAACTTGATACTTATAAGAAAAGAGATATTTAAACAAAGGGGGTTGAATCGATTTCCATATAATGTGTCAGTTTTTGTTACTGAAGAGACTGTTATTAGTCTGACATTGGTCAAAAAATATGAAGTTGAGTAGTTTGTTAACTTATCAATACGTCATTAAATAAACATGTTTCTACTGACATAATTTCACATGTCGAATTTTCTTTATCCATTGCTTCACTTTGATAGTAGAATCAAGAAGACCCAGCTAACTGTACATTATTTGGATGTAGAAGTTGTCCTGTTCTTTAGTTTAATCACGAGAGTTCGAAAAGGGATTATGGGTTTTCGTTTCGTTCCCTCTAAAAATTTGTCAAACGGATTCACTTGTACTTGGTGTTATCATTGGTATCAATCCCTGTACTACTAATTACTATAGAACGGAGAGTTTCCCATGGGATGTGATTTTTGTATAGGTCGTTTTAAGACAATTCACACCACTAATTGACTTAAGCTAGTCAACCACCGGAAATAAAGGAGTACCAGAATTTTGTTTTAACATGTGATTTATCCGACATGTGCACTCATGGTTTCCACAAGGCTCAGAATCATAACGTTCATCTTTCGAAGTAAGTACTCTACCTCTAGACCACTGATTCAGCACTCAGTGATTCTCAAGATTTGAAATTCTTTGGTTCGATTCCCCATTGGATCTAGAACATCACACCAAAAAGAAAGAAATGTCCCGTATTTTCTGGTATTCTATGGTTTTCTTCCCCCAAAGCTAGTCCGTTATATAAACTATTTTTTGTAATGGTTAGTATAAGGTTGTGAAGATTATTGAATTTCATTGAAATCATGAACCTAGCAAATTTAGAAAACCACTGAAAGCCTGGAAGGACTGGATGGCCATTTTGTTCTAGTATGTGACTCCTCGGCAGTACGCGTCCACGACCTTGCATCCGGGAATAGAGCACAGGACCATAACTAACACTATAGCTAACAGTTGACTACTAGACCACTGAGCCGAGATTCAATGGTGCACAAAAATCTAACTTGAATCAGTCTAGCATTTCGATTATTTTGTACGTGCTGATAAATCTAATTAGTGAATTTTCTGGTTGCTTAAATCTTGGAATCCATATGAATGTATTTCAGATAATAACATCTAATGTCAATATCTGCTGTTAAAATGTAAATTGTGTTAAAATTGATCAGATTATTACAAATAACTATATCTACATTACTTTTATTTTTATAAAACAACATGATTTGAAATGAATGTGAATAAACCAAAAAATATTACAGTCCTTCAGTAATATAGTAATACTAAACATACAGTGTGTGTGTTAATTCGTGTATGTAGATCCAGTTTGCAAACGATGAGATTTATGTAATTGATTGTTTGCATTTCCTTTGTGTTTAAAGGCAGACGGATTCTAATACAAGTACTCTTATCTAGAGTTCGACCACTGACCCTATGAAGTTTTTATATTGTATGTAAATTTGCTTTGTAAAGTGTTCATAATTTTATTACTGTGTCGAGAATCAGGTTTGTTATTTTGTTAACACACAGTATCCATAAACTATTCGGCAATCTAACTGAACTTGGGTAAAGTTCGACTCTCACCTCGAGGTGTTGCAGGGATAGTGTAACTTGTTTTACAAACTAATGTGAGGGACTGGGTGGAGATCAGGCTAGTGCCTCTATCGTGAATATGGACTACCTGAAAGGCGATCAAGGTATGGACCAGTTTGAATTCCAGGACAAGAGAAAAAATCAACTATTTTTGGTGCCTATCTACATTTTCTCCGGAAAGGTCGATTGGGTCTGATGAGAACCAGAGCAAAGACCATAAACAGTGCACACTGGTCGATACTAAACTTGATTGCATGAAGGAAGCAACCATCAATAACTAACTAATAACCTGACCTTTAGGTAACAAAATGAAGTCGCGAATATACCTACGCGTATACTGTTGGATGTAAAGATCTTGGTCTATACATTTTCTATATGCATGTAAAATATACTTGGGACCTCTCACATCTATTCCTGTGTGTACTATGGAGAGTATTTGTCTCCGACTTGTGCATTCTATAAATACATGTAATGCTCGATTGCGACGTTATCCACGTTCTATACTGCGGTATTCATTATAGCTCTCAACGCTTTTGTGTTGTTACAAAGCTTCTGAACAGGAAATGTAACTGTACAGAAGTGGACAGCTAACGTGCCCGTTTGCTTTACACGAAGTATAATTGAATCAAAGTCTCTACTTACACACAAACTGCACCAAAGTAAACTGCTGACTTTTTCATTTGCTTTATTTTCTTCAGTACTTCAATCTCACTCATCTTTACCAAAGCTTTTTCTTTTCTTAAAATGACGGTAGGCTTTCCTACTTAATTGGTCAGGCTAAACAAACTAAAACGATCCATTAACTATTTAACGATGCAGCTGAACTGGAAGACAGCCTAGAACTGGTCTAATAAAATGCTAATCGCATTACCTTGTTCAACGTAAACAGAGATATAGTAGAAGAGAACCTTTTTTTAATAAGCTTTTAATCTCAGAATTTTGTGCTACAAAACAGCAGACCATCAAGCATTTTATAAACGATAATTGTCACTACGTCAAAATATACTTAAATTTTTGGTTAACTTTTAATTCTCAGATAGATTGGCCTTTCCATATGATGTGCCATGTGGGATAGAACGTGCATTTAGTGTGTCCTGTTTCGTTCCCATCTTTGAATTTACCTGTATCAACTGATATAAGGACGTATCAACATTCATTTTCACTTAATTCTTTTGTTACAAAATAGTGATTGGACAACCCTAATAGTAATCGATCCCAGGAAGAACAATATACCTATCATTCATATTTGCAACTTTAGCCAATTCATAATATGACTTAACCAATGTTATAATTGAGATTTCTTTGAACTACTTGATCATCGGAAGTTTTATTTATGAATTTAGTTACTAATCTATACGTAAATAATAATTATTATTAATAAGATTGAGATTTCTGTAATATCTTCAATTAAAAGTTCGTTTTTAACGTAATCACTTTTGAAATTATAGCGAATCTTACAAAGTTACGATTATAACATATTCTTATTCATTATCAGTTTATGGATTTAAAACAAAAAAGGGAAGGTAAAAAAAACTTTCATTTTATTTAAAATAGGGTATATATATGTCTACATAATATATATGTATAAGCGAAATAATTAGATTGTGTTAATCAAATACATTTATGAGACAATATATAAATATACTAATTACAAGTGTGTTCTCATTTGATTTCGATTAATATTTACACTATCTGAGGATACAACAAAGAATTCATTAAATGACTTTAATTCATCTTTTGGTATATAATCTGGATTGTGAGGATCATAACCATTTTGTTTATGTTTATGAAAGAAATCAATATTACGCCATACTGCTATAGCGTTTACAGTTATTAAAATGAGAAATACAATGAACCACTGAAAGGGATAGTAAAAAAGAAAACAATCAAAACAGTTTATGCTAATAATTTGTTTAAAATGTATCCAAAATTTTTACAGATATTTGTATATTTCAAAGTTATTTTCCATCTTATAATTACTATTAGGTAAGATATTTTTAAACAGTAGTTGAAACATTATTGAAAAAAAAACTGAATACTAGATAGCTGTTTAAGCCTTAGCATTTTTAGCTTGTGTAAGTTGAAAGAAAACTAGGGATGACAGCAGTAAAATTTGGAATCAATTCGTGAAATCATTAACAGTTGTTTTTAGACTTGTTATTAGATGCAGATTACCTATTTGGGGCCCATACGATAATACCTATCAGTGGTTGGAGATGCTTGGTGATATGGCTAATAATCAGTTACGTTGACTCAGATGCATTTCTTTATCTTCCTCTAAATATCGGGTTTCAGTTTTCCATCATTCATATTTTTCCTTACCTTATCGAACCATATTTTCAATCTCTCACATTATTGTTGCCGCTACGTTATTTTGATTGCTTTTTTATTTGTCTTAATAATTTCGTCTCGTCGTGCTAATGTAGCATGACAACTTAGGCAAACATATATTTGCTGAGGTCTACGTTGATTAGGATTGAGTAATCTTAGCAATGTGCACATCTGATTTCATGCACTAGTAAACCTGACACCTTCTAGTTCTCCAACTTTTATGAGTTGGAGTTCAATGGATCAAATGTGAAGATTCAGTCAGTTTGTGACAATGTTCAATATTCGTTTAACACTATCGGTGATCTAACGTTTTCTTCCCAACTTACTGTTAGAAAGTGTTTTGCTCAAGTTATTTGGATATTTGAAAGCATTCTCAGGTTTACAACAGTTCTCACTCTTACGTTAAGTTCCTGATGAAAGTTATAAATAAGAATTGTCATCGTTTTTAGTAGAACTTCCACTTTAAAAAAATACTAAACAGAATTTTGAAACAGTATTTGTTTTACCTCAAGTAATGTAGTAGTCATTGAATCCAAAGTAAGTTGATACCATTTTGGATTTGATTTTATTAAATCATATGCCCACCAAATAATCAACCCGGTTCCAGATAAAGGCACCAAAACACTGTTGTGTAAAAACAAATTAAACGCTTCGTTATGACCAGTTAGATTTTCAAAATAATAAACAATTTAAAGAGTATGTTTACATTATAATTGGAAACGCAGATGTGTTTTTATGTTCTGGTGTACATTTAAGTGAAGTGGTATAGTTGATTGTAATAAATTGTGATAAATTTAAAGTTACCAATAAATCTTTTCAGTTCCTTTTGTATAACAAACTTCTTATGAAAGCTTAAATTTTTGATAAAAAAATAAAAATAGCATGTTCAGTGTGAGATGTAGTTAAGATTGGGTTATAACACTTCGTAGTGATGTATTATTTTGTTGTCCTCATATCAGCATCAGAAAATAAATTTTCATTTCATAGTCTTGATTTAACTTTATATCATTCTATGATTTTTGTTAAAAACTGACATCAGCTGAGAAACTAATGAACATCAAGGAGCACTGTTCAAATATTTAATCCTATTTGAAAACACCTTATCAATCTGCATCTCTGATCGCAAAATTCATAATTAATTGCAGGGATTTTAATTACTGCAATGAGTACGATGTCTTTAAATCACTGAGTTAGGATTCATTCAGTTGATTGTTAGTGTAAGAAAATAATATGGTCTATATGCATATTAGTTCCAAGACACAGTCCGGCGGTGAATGACTTCATAGACTGTTGACGTTTCTTCTCATGAGCATTCTCATTCTTCTTTTATTTTCTTTCAATGTTAACCACTTTCGCTCCTTCGTGTAAGAAGTGACTGGATATACATAAAATTGAAAGATCCAGTTTCAGTTTTATCACCAAATGAAATAAACTTTAATTTATAGAGTATCTCTTTCATCGAACGATAAGTTGCTTATTAACCTTGTACTTAAAATATGAATCTCTTTCCAATTAGTTTTTTTTATTTTCATTAAACATAGAGACAAACTATTCTTTTTATATTCTTTTATCATATAACTAACTGTATCTGATTCTTTCCTATGATACAAGTTAAGAAGGAAATTAAGATCAAAACTAATTAATCATTTTCTTGGTTGAATTTAATGCTGAAATATGTTTTTTTAATAAATATTTCTTACATTATGGGATTATGACGTATCATTAAAATATGAAACAATGAAAAGTATTTTGTAGTTTTCAGAATTTTGTCAAGAAGAAAAAAGAAAAAAAATTTCTAAAATATAATTTCTATCCAATTTCTTATAATGATTGATTGTTTTATAAACTTTACCATTCATATAGCTTGACAATAGATAGAAATCGATTTTATAAATATTTCACTGCATTTTTTTGTCATTAAAAATTTCATAATAATTTCGACAGTTGAGATCATGAGGTATCAAAAGGTATTTCGTGGAGTTCTAGTGAGAAGCAGTGACCAGTGGAGTTGTGAGATTCTAACTCACTGAAGACAATGGTGGATGTGTCGCTCAATTTCGTGAATCGGTTGAAGTTGGACATTGACACTGTTGGATGCCGGTTCAGTGGTCTAAAGGTTAAGCGTTCACGCGCGAAACTGATGGGTCCGAGGTTCGAATCTCGCGAGGCGAGATCGTGGATGCGCACTGCTGAGAAGTCCAACAATGGGACGAAACGGCTGTACAGTGTTTCCAAGTTTTTCATGATGGTCTAACTTCAATTAACTCATGATCTCAACTATTGAAATTAGTTGATAGTTCTCCACTAAATTTCTTTTTTAAAATTTTCGTTTGTTTAAATGAATTAATCATATATTTTTCTAAACTATTTATAATATTATACACACAAGGTTTTACTTTACATCCGTTCTGTACTATCATTGTACTACTTCGGTTATTATTTGTATTTTAATTTAATCTGAGAATTTTGAAAATCTACCACATAGCATGTGGTACACTATTTGTTAACAGGTTTTCTTTTTTTTTGTTAGTTGTGATTGATAATAATGGTAAACCTAAAATCTCATATTGAGAAAACATTTTCTTGTTCACAGACTGATGTTGGTTTTAGAAAACTATTCAATATTAGACAACTGTTTTGATCTAATTCCAATCTCAGTATTATAAAGTGAAAAACCTATATGAAAGCGAGCCAAATACTTATGCTGATTTAGATACTTTGAAAGTACTGGATCGAAATACAATGGTCTACAATTAAATCTGAAGTTAACTCACGTCATGTCGTGACTAACATTCATCATTAGAAATGATAACTGCCGTTGTTTTGTTACATAACTGACTTCGCAATATGTATCCGTACATTCTCAATTCTATATGAAAATGAATCGTGGGTGTCCAGTTCTGAAATCCTTAACCAGGATAAAACAGGCTTTTAACACTTCGATCAGTTAAATACCCATAAACGTTACTTAAATAATTGAATACTTATCAAATGGCTTACTCAGTCACTCATAGTTTTGTGCAATATTAATCACATTCTTGATAAGAAAAGTTTGTGTATATTAGCTTTCAAATACATAATCTTTTTGATATTACTAAACGTTTAATGACAAGATTATTATAACGTTTAACAAACCTTATCATAAAGACCCAAACAACTGAAAGTTTCCAATCATCGATTCCAAAATCATTCACAATGACCCTTCTATATTTCATTGGACCATAAATCAATATTAGACCAGCCATAGATAAACCGGATAACATAAGTGCAAAACCCCAAACATTGTCCTACAAAATACCATCAATAGCATAAATATTTAAAAACGTCTGCATGATATTGCTGCTAACAGTATTAGAAAGTCACTCATAATCGACCATTGTTAAAGTGCTTCTGAAGCGAAATTTGAATTATTATTTACCACTCAGTATCTACGTCATTTCAACGGAGTTAGGAGCATGATAAATGTAGTTTTTAATAATATTATACATTATTGACATTTTAGTTTGACTGTTTTATAGTCAACCGTAGTTCTAAAATACCAATAGGGTAGACTGTAGTTTGTGTTATTAACAAATATTCAATCATGTAAAGCGAAAAAATCAGTGATTTATTTGAAGACTTGTATTTCTGTTAAGCATGCCAACATTAATGTTGTTTACTTTGTTGTCCCACAAGTTAGACAGGATGTAACTTAAGGATGCTTTTACTACTTAATATTTTTAAAAATTTATTGCGATTTGAAATTAAACCTAACCAGCTCCAAATTTCTCCACGACGATCATCTTCCAGTTTTGTTATTGTTAAAAACGATGTTATTTTCTTCTCACTTTCAGGGTTATTGAAAATATGTTAGCCTATTTTTCTTATTTGGTGTCGTCTATTCAGTAAATGAGATTTATAATAACTGGTTGCTAAGGTAGAGAATCGAGATTATCATTGCTTACTGATTTAAAAATTTTGGGCTTACAATATTTCAAAAATTATGGGAAAGTATCAAATAACTGCTTGATCCTATCACTGATACACCTGATGTAATTTAATAAAGAGGGAATCAGTTGTTTTGTCTACAACAAGATCTAACTATACAACAGTGGCAGTTAGTCAGAAAGTAGTATTTTGTGCTTAGTTGTAAGAAAGGCATCCCGAACATTTCAAATACCAGATTTTATTCACATCGTTACTTGGTACATTGATACTTTCTAACTACTAATTTAGCTGGATTTGTTGATGGAAGACCAATACTTTAGAAGCAAACAAAATTTATTTTCAAAGGCACTGATTTAAACAGCATAATAAAATCTGTCCATAGTTTTTGTGCCAATGAAAGTTATTAAGGCGAAGTGTAAGACATTTTTATGATTCACTATCTGGTGATCGTTGGAAGACTTAGCCGACATGCACACACCCTAACTTGAAATGTATTTTCAGTCAGTCAGTCAGCTACAACATAGGACCAGGCACATATATGCATCGGTCCAAATTGCCACACCACATTAGCATAACAAGATTCACAGAAGGAGTTACTTCAATGGCAGTAATAAATGAAAGAAAAATTGTGTATAAGGATGTATTACAGAAAGAAAGGCATAAAGTAATTTTAATCTCATGGTTTAAGGGAAGACAAAGAGTGTATACGCCTATATCATTGTTATCCATTCCAAGCCGTTTCACCCAGAGTCTCTTACCACTGGTTATGGTATTTGTGCGGACTCCAACAAAGTGGTATGCATCCACCAGCATGACTTAGACCAGAAGTTAATGACTTCAAGCACTGATGCTACGTTTTGGTTTGGCCGCCCTTAACTTATCGTTCTGGAACTAAATTTGGAGACTGTGTAAGTTAAATCAAATATTTATTGGTTAACATATACCAGGTTGCACTCTTTTTGAATATGAACTGTCAATAATGGAAGTCAACTTGAAGTGTTTTGCCTGAGTTATATTTGATCTTTATCTAAGTAAATTGACACGTAACTCTTAGCTATTAGCTTGAAGTATTTTTTGTGTCGATGGAGAAGAAATATGATGTCGTTTAAAATCTGGAGGTCAGCTCCACTCATCATTTGTTAACATCATGCATTCCTTGAAAACTCTGGGGTAGTATTCATAATTTAACAAATCCTAATGTATAGAAGTGGAGCTCAGGAAAAATCTTACTGATACTAGGTACATATCATATTTGTTGAAGATATTAAGTGTTTACAGAAACGGATTCGTGTCTAAAATAGCTCACTACTGGAAACCGTCCCAAAAATACACGCAATACACGAAAATTTATTTGAGTGGTGGGTATATTACCGTAATCATATGAACAAACACAAAATCACAAGAGGAAAATCTTTTTCGAAAAGCTAAAACAATAGCTAAATATAAAACCTACCTGATTCGTTAGAACGTTTATGCTAATTGCAGATGGCATACCAAATACAAGAGTAAGGAATAAACCAGCAAATGCAGCTTTTCTATGACTTACTATAATAAAGATAAAAAGTCACAGTACGAACGTCTTCTCTACATTTATCGACATTAATCAAAGAACAGTTAGAAACACGATTCATAAGTAAATTATAATGTATAACGTTTAAAAAACTTGACTGATTAGAAGAAAATTTTTTTAAATCAACCATTTAGCCATCAAGTAAATAAACTACATTTTGTGAAGCACTTGGTAAACAAAGGAAATGAACTTAATCAACTTGATATTTTGAATGATTAATGGAGAGACGGAGAGAGAGAATATATGGCCAATTTATTTAATAGATTTTATTTATAAGAAACAATTATTTATTCACTATTTTTGAACGGTTTCAATGAAAATAACTATTCACTAGTGTAATGGAAATTTCATTCGTTCTGAAAGTTATTTTCACCAATGACTAAAGTCATTAGGGACCAATTGGGAAATCAGAAAGCATTAGAAATTGGCGTCATAATAGAATGGAACTTTTCAACAATTTACCATCTTAGACTCGATTACATATATGTACACAGTGTTGACAATTTCGAAACCATGTCAAAATAATTGGTCAGTAATCCAATTATATAGGAATCGTCAGCTTATAACTAATTTCAGAAAAAATCGTTTTCAATCTTGAAAAGAAACTCGCAAATCTTTTAAAATGAGAACCTCTGTTACAGCCGGAGACGTTAACATTGAGCTATTTCGGTTATGAACACATTCATATCAGTTAATTTTAGTGATCCGAAATCTGACTCCAGTAAATAATCACTGATTAGTAACCGGAAAATGTTCATAAGTCTTTAGCGATGATTAAATTATACCGATTATGTAGATTTGAAGTATTTATCATGAATCACTATACTTATCATCTTCAGGATTAGAGCTATGTCGCTTTATTTATTGGAATTTAATTATTGACTACATGATCATGATTTTTTACTTAATTATGTTAAGGCTATAATTTGAAATATTCGGAAGCGATAACAAAATGAAAGAGTTTTTCAAACTTACAACCCAAGTCCTTAGCTGTTACAACTGTCAATTGGACATGACCAATTAATGAAGTAATCCCCGCGAAGGAGAGACATAAGAAGAACAATGAACATAGAACTCTTCCCAGACCACCAACATAGGCGAACAGGACAGGGATCCTTTAGTAAATGAATAATTTATATATTTAGTAACGTTATAATGCCTAATATTATTTATGTTATTGGAATTAAATTTTGAAATTAATAAAACGATTTGACACCAATTAACAAACTCAGTACATTTAGAATCGTTATTTTGTATATTGTGCAATCGAATTATTGAGAAAAAACAGAAACACTTACAATCAAGGATAAAACTAAACTGATAGCTCAATATGTATACAAAAATAATCGTATATTAATTACCAGGTAAATGTGAGACCTGTGCTACCAGGTCCATTTGATTGCATTATTTTCAAGATGCCAGAACGTGTTAATGTTGGTGACGTTTGTATTAAAGTCGAGAAGACAGTTGAGAAAATTGTTAGCGCACAGAGTAAACTGGAAACATTTGGTGAAAAAGAGGAATCAATAATTACATCAACAGTTTTTAAAAACTATCAAAAAATGCAAGTTAAAAGTGATGTTTATCGTTTAATAGAGTTACTCAACAAACATTTATACAGATTACATTGAAGAAAATGGATAAAAAGCTTATCTTACAGAGTAATATAGTGATATAATCATGGTCCTATTTAAGAAGATAATATGGATTTTTATCAAACATTCATCCAAGATGTGACTGACATAAGTTGTTCCAGTTTAAATTTATATAAGAGATCAATAGTTAAAATCAGTAGTTAAGTATTTTAAGGCTATCTTTTCTGTAGGCAATGAAAATAGTATTCAATGCTCTATCACTAATAGTTACTCTGATAACTAGCTTAGTAAGAAGTACATGAATAAATCTGTGAAAGCTTTGCAATTTATAGATTGCTACCTTAATTATATCACACTGAACAGTAATTTTATATTGTGTACTTAAATTTCAACTTGTCAACTTACTGTAAATGCTGAACAGTACTTCTACTAACTGTTTACTTTGCAAAGGACAGAACTCAAGTATGTTATAAAATAAGTTGACTATGATATGTGATGATACAACATAAGAATAGAATCCTCAAAAATCCTTTGATCAATAGAAAACCCCTCGAATTTTTTTGTAACAAGCAGTTAATTTCATTAGAACTGGTATTTTTTTAATCATTTATTGGTATGATGGTTTGATAATCAATATTGTTCACAGATGAATAGGAACTAAATTAATTTATCATGTTGAATGTAATGAGTTACTTTTTCCTTGAAGATGATTTAAGAGGTATGACTATCCTTCAAAATAATTTGATACACTAATTTATTATTGAGATGAGAAATTTAACTTGAGCTTACATTTCTCATTTCAATTAAACTTCTCTTTACTGTTATACTTATTAAGATCTAATACTTCAGATAAGACAATTTCAATAAACATTCTAATTAGTAAAGAATATCATGACATAAGTAATACTAATCATTTTAATGTGTAATTATCCATTTCAGCAACAATGCTCATACATCTTTAATATGAGTTGATAGAGATTACGTTACATTAAAAATAAACGATTATTCACCACTGCCTTTCATAGAGATTTAATGAAATTGCTTGTAGTTGAAATGACAATATATATACATATATATAAATAAAGAAAACATTTGTATATGGTAATTAGATGAATAAAAGTGTAATAATAATAATGATAACAATAATAATAAGCACACAAATTCCCCATATGTTACTTTTATTAGGAAACATAAATCTTATTTCTAAATTTAATTCATGCATAATATTTAATAATTTTTCTTTGTTTTTTAAAAAAAAGGAATTGTAATAGAAAGTAGTATAATGTATTTTTGAAAGTTTCTTTTGGTTTGACTGTATATTGAGTTTGATGATGATGTCATTTTTGTTTTCTAGATGATTCGAAAAGAAATCAACCTATAGAAAGTTGTTAGTTTTTTCTTGATGGAAATTCCATAAATGTTGTAGTTAATTTGAGAGAAGATATTTTTTGGAATGAAAAATTATTGTTGAAGATAACGTTTTAACATTTCTGATGTGGTAGTGTGATTATTATTTTAAATTAACTAATGATAAGGTATTATAATCTAATGCTATTTATTTTAGATTATAAACCTAACGATGTTTTCTTATTAATATTGGTGGCCTAATCTAGATGTTGAAGTGAACTACGGTGAATTTGTGTAATAAGCGAAAATTGATTTAATGGAATAGTATAGTATTGTATTCACTCCAAAACGGAGTGAAACTTACGGCATCAAAGTGATGTTATTATATTTTTTACTGGAAGACTAAATATGATGCACGGATACGTGGAGAACCATGCAGATAACAACCAGAATAACTTCACTGGCTGATTGAACTAGGAGAAGGAGGAGGAACAGGATGCAACAACAACATAGCGTATAGAGATGAATCCAAATAAAGGAAACACTAACTGATTGAATGATAAAGTATCAAACGATTATATGATTATAATAATTGCAATGTTAAACAAATCTGTTTGTCAATCAATTCGATCATATACCTTACTATTCTTCATACAATATAGAAATCATTTTCGATCATCATTTAATCATTGTTTGCTGCATTAGCCACCTGTTCAGTGTATTCGTAATGTTTATTTTCAATCCTGATGTATTTTTGCATCAGTATTCTACTTAATCCCTACTAGCTAGGTATTTATCTAATAAGCACTGTAATTTAACAATACTTCTCACCTGACCATTTTATTTTTAAGTTATGACCATTATCTTGTAACTATTTCAAGATATTGTTATTACTATTATGTAAGTGACTAACATCACTGTGGTAACTTAGTTGTCCTTACAGTCTAGAGAATACTACTACAGTTCTATGTAGAACCGATTTTTGTTAGTTTGGTTAAATACTTGTTTTTTCTTACATATACTTTATATTTCACCAATTGGTGTTCATTGAATTGTGTTGTTCCGTTTCCATATTCTAATTCAATATCAGGCATCAATTACTACTTTCTAATATAATCAAGCTTAAAAGACATACGATAAAGGATATTATATGTTTATGTTTTTAAATCTCTCTTGGGTGATGGTTGGTCACAAAACAAATATTTGAAAATAATAAAAAGTAAAAACGTTCCAGTCATTTTGATTTGTTATTGTTGTCCATTGGCACTTTACATGTCTGTCCACATAACGGCATCATTGTTAATCTTCAGTCTAGTCTGTTATTTTTCCTTCCCTCTTCTTCATGAACTATTGCTTTGTTTCTTACCAAAACAGGTACGTGATGCAGACAACGAATTCATTCAAATTAATTGATAACTGCAATAACAGTAATTTAATTAGAATAACGAATGAATTGCATCATGTGGATTTTTAGAAATCTTTGTCTATTTTTCTCAATAGGGACTGAATAACAAGGGTGTTAACATCCTTTAAGAATAGTGATATCGAATTGATATTCACAATCACGACGAATTTTGTATCGGTCAATTATTTCCGTTGTTCTCTTCGATTTTTCTTACCAGCATTTATCACTTACAAGTTGTTATCTATTATCCTTATTCAATCATTCAGTATGGTTGACCTGTAACTATCCAAAGGCCTGTATTTTATTGTTTTCTACCTTAAAATTGAAGTAACTTAATCACCGTGTTCACAACCACAACCTTATGTGATTATCAAAACAAAACAAAATGCCTCACCTGACCATATTGTTACATATTGGAATCATGGTACCGAAGCGTACAGCACCATTTTTCCGACTAAAATATGATGAATATGAAATGAATAAAGCCATAGCTGCGCCAGTATCGAATGCATTTTGACTAGCAGCAGCAACCCATAAACTAGGAGTAAACATGCTACCTATAAAATTAAAAAAAATTAAACAACATCGTTTAATAAATTTCAGTTACTTATTTGACGAGATATATAATTACTTATTTTATGAATACAAAAGTTACAATAACATAAGTATGTTATTTATTTTATTGAGCTTATGTTCTACAAAATGAACAATCATAATAAGGAAATTGTATTAAGAGATTGATAGATGAACATTATATTTTTCAATTTTCAAATTTGGTTAAAGTTTATTATAAGACTGGGATCAAAATGTAAACTAGTCTACTGGGTTTATGTAACAAACTGCTCATTTTCTCCACTTTCTTTGGATGACCAATTAATGAAAAAAATAACCTGTATTTTACAATAATACACTGATTATTTTAGTCATTCCATAGATTTTTAAAGTACACCATTTCTCTATACTCAGCAAAATGATGACTCAAATTGATATTAAGAAATAATGTAAATGTTTATTTATTTTGATGTATTACCTTCTTCTGATTCTTTCAACATCGTTACATGATGGTCTAGTTTCAATTGACTCATAAACTCAACTATTAAATTACCATAATATCCACAATACCTCTTTCTGATATTTGTTTTTGTTTTTGTACTACTGTCAAATATGACATCTTAGACCAATGCAACTCTGTGCAATATTTCATAATACCTTAAATTATATTCCGATAGAGAGTTTTTAATAATGTAGTATATAGAATTTAACAATGTATTAGCCTTATTAGTTTATTTGTCGATATGCTTAAAAGAACATATTGGTGATTTTCAAAAAAAAAACCTATCGTTACAATTTACAGTTTTTAGATTTAAAAGATGCTACACTAAATGAAATAAAAGTTTTGCAAAAAATTTATTTGGTGTGTTTGTGTGTGTGGTAATAACATCAATCTAATGATAGAAGATCTCGATAAGAAATTAATTTTTTCTTCAAAGACTGTTTTTTTCAAGAAACGATGCTAATTTTGAGAATTATCGTTTAGTTACCAAAAATGAATGTGATTTATTTTGGATTTATATGGAAAGTTATGTTTTAAGTAGTAAACATTCATTGATGATATCAAAAGTGTACTTTAATATGACTTTATGTTAAACAACTTTTCTTTAATGAGACAGTGCATATAAATTCAACATTTTGATATGAATAGGTGAAGTAAAAAGGATTGTATTGAAAAGTGAATAAAGTTAATTATGTAAAATGAGTGAACTTAGTCTCAAATGCTATATCATATCACAATCAGTATGATTGAAGAAAGGATCTGACTCTAAACACAAGTTTGGATATTTATATGTCATGCCCAGGAGTCTAACCTTAGAGTAAAGCACCAGTTTAGTACCTTATTATTTCATGTGATTCTATAAGTGACAATAGTCTATGATGAAAATCCCCAACAAAAAGTGTAATGTATCAAACACTGAATTTTATAAAATATATTGTGAAACTAACCCCAGTATGGAGTAAATAAAAATGTAATACCAACTTCTGAATATTTTCTTGTTAATGACCATCCGAATGTGAAAATTAGTATACTTAACAACATAGGTACTAATACCATATTGGCTTTTTCAATCCATTTGATACCGCCAAATATACATCCACCAACAATAACAACAGATAATGTATGAGTTAACACAGGCCAGTAAGATTCCTGCAGAAAAGAACAAGTAGAAAAGAAAAGACAAAATGGCCTTTGTCTGACTAAAAAAATAATTACTAGCAGCCTTTTTATTGAAAATCTGTATATTATTAATCATGCAGATAAACTGTGCACTATTGATTGCTTTTCACCCATCTTAACAACCAATTGAGATTTAGATGAAATATTTAGGTATTTCAATAACAATCATTGAACTGAAAAGTTAGATATTATACGGAAGGAAATGTAGATTCATCATAACGTAAAAAATGAAACAGTGTAGATTATGGATATGCATATTAATTATTAATTGTTTTATAAATGACTTCAATCATCTACTGTATGATACATCGAGAAGTCTCTTGCATTTACAGTTTTAGACAACGCTAATTTCACTGAAACAACTACAGCGAAAAAGGAGTTTCATTGGACTTCAAAGTGCACATTTTAAGTATTTTCTGTTATTGATCATTCTGATAAGTGATCAACAGCAAACTAAACAGTTTCGAAGTTAACATCATGAGTTGACTTTAGTTAAATGACCACTGTAAACTAAGAAACAGTGAGCAGATGTCTCGTTTCAGGATTGAACTCTTCATCAGTAAGCATCGACGTTCTAATGACAAACCGTGACCAGTGGAGTTCACTCACGTAGTGCGTCAATAAGTACATTGGGGGTTGATTGAGATATTACAAATCGATAGAAGTTAAACATGTAAAACTTTGGATACGAGATCTGTGGTTCGGAGAAAGAATTTTCTAGTTTCCGATTCCTGGTGGCTATCGAGCGCATATTGACTATCACCACTTTTATCAACTAAATATCATTCCATGATGTTAGCTATTCAATTCTAAAAAGTTCCATAAATTTCTCTTAACTAATCCATCTGTTCAGTACTGATAGTGCCTAGGTTTACTGTGTACTGTATAATGAAAATCTCACTTCAAACTGTCAAATCGCTTGCATAATGTTATTAATTAAGGTGGTAAGGTGAACAATCCAGCTAAAAGACTCAGTAATTTTCAGTTCTTTAAGTCACGTCAAGACCTTAAGATTGTGTTTTCAGGCCTACCTTAGGTTGTGGCACAAGCAACAGCGTGGTCTATATTTGGGATAAAATACCTACTTGACTCCTAATGGTTAGTAATGTTTCTGAAAAAGTTTTCAGTCTGTACTGTAAACCAAGTCTAAACTGTTATCGATCAGTAGATAAACAGATAATTTCATTGTTTCTGAGTAAAACGCTTCGGTTTACATCAAAAATTGCTAATTATCACCATTATTACTCAATATTACAAAACTACTGAATAAATAACTTTAAAAAATTACACCACCATAAGAGCACTTACCTGTGCGAATTCATTGAAAATTTTAATGCTTGTTTCTACATCTCTCGGTAAACTTGACAATGCACAAGATTTATAGAAATAGTATAAACACCAACCAACAATGACTGAAAAGTAAGCGCTAAAATTTAAAATGAAATAAAATACATTAGTGAGTATGGGCTCAAATTATTACATAAGAGTAATAAGCTACAACTAACACAACATGAAAGCAATATATATATATATATATATATATATATATATATATATGAGTAATAACAGAAAAATAGAATTACTGAGTATTTTCCTCATTCACTATTGAATAAATTCAATATTAATGCCTAATAAAGTGTGATACTTACGGACATTTAAACGCTTTGTAAACTTCAAATAGTCCTTTCGATTGTTTAGAGTAACTAGAACTAGAGTATTAGTAATCTGATTCCATTATGGATAACACAATTTATTAATTTACTATTTCTGAACATGAAAACTAGTCTGTTTTGCATTAGATTGATAAATAAACATATTGATGATAAGAGACAACTGGACGCTCATAATGTAACTTTAGGTGAACTTTGAGTATTTAGCTGGAAAGTTAGTAAAGTATCATTTACTTATGAGGAATAGTTTTCCTACAGATCACAAGTTGTAATTCGAATTTGTAACATGAGATTATCTTATATATGTATTCAAATGCACATATTACAATCCCCATCGGGATAGCTTTTGACACTTCCAACTAAATGTAACTGAAATTAAAAGTGTGACATGAATAAAAAAATAAAACTACCTGTACTCAGTTTTCACTACCTGACCTTTGTTCATTTAAGATGCAGTAGTAGAGAAAGATTCATTTCTTTGAAATTCGACGACTTAGAGCATTTTTGTTGTGTCGAAATTTACTCAGAATTCTACTTACGTGATCATATAAGTTACAGCAACAATCCATCCTCCTAACCATACCAATTTATTGCCCAAAAATCTGTGAAATGCACCAAGTGGAGATGTTCGAGTAAATCGACCCAGTGTATATTCAACAATACTTAATGGTAGAGACCAAACAAATAATGACATTGCCCAAGCAATGAGAAATGTTAAACTTCCTAAAATGATTAGAAAACCAATAACATATCCAGTGATCACTATTGAAACATTTTGGTTGAGTAATACCTTAATAGTACCTTAAAAGCGAATTTTTAAATATATCTACCTTTTACAAATAAAATTATTTATCAACCATATAAACAATAACTTCAATTTTTAACATAACTTTCATTGATAATCAGGTCAATGACCTCATTTTTTTGATTTAGTTATCATACTCATATGTACATTTCCAAAATCTCAATCCCTACTAGAAAAAAAACATGACTCGAATGTTATTCATAAACGTGAACATGAATTCACTTTCACAAATGATTTGCTAACTTTAGTGTACCATTATCAGTGAAATCGGTGTAAAATCAGTAAATGTTTATTTCAAATTATTTGGGTTACACTAAAGTTAAAGTGAGAATTCTCATAAACTGCTCGTTCTTGCCTGATATTATATACATATCATTCTGTATATAGAGAAAGAAACCTTAGTGAGTCAAATTTGTTTTATGCAACAGTGATGCATTTTCTGACAAAATTATCATGTTGAGTTTAGAACAATAAACCTCAAAATTCTAGTTCACCAGAATATAACCTTTAGTTTGGACGGTAGTCATTAATGTTCAAGATAATGAGATCGAGTGTATTATATGCAAATATATAATAAATTCATTTATTGATGTAGTCATTTATTTTATGGATAATTTAATTAATGTTTGTTGAATCAACAGTTGGTCAGATACTTCAGTTTTACTTCAGTAAAATGTCAGTGTAAAATAATACCATATCCTAATATTTTATATAGAAGGTACTTACCCTACATACTATTTAGTTAGCTAACTTTTATCATCATACCAATATATTTCAACGGGTTCTAGATATACTAGGTGTTTAGTAAACTTCTTGAAACTAGACAAATCTATGATGCCTAACGCCAACAAGGTAAATCAAAGTACTGATTTTTATGGTGATAAATTGTTCCAGTCTTTAATCGTTTATAGCCAATGATATTCTCTGTGTAGAATTTTACTACCAAATGATGTAGTATTTTAAAAAATATTAGTCAGATGTATTTGTAAATATAAATATAGAACTAGAAAAATTAACTGACCTTGCGAATAACTGGCTGTGGCAATAATACGTGGAAATCGCCATATATTTCCTGTTCCTATGACACAACCCAAACAAGAAAGCAGCACTCCTATTGAGGAATTAAACGTTGATAATTCAGATCTTTGTGCATCTTTAGAATGTGTTTTCAGTTCTTGTTCAGATGATGGTAGCTGATTTAAATAGTAAGTTTTAGAATGAATGAAATTTTTTCATGAACACACTTAAACGCTGAACTTAATGTCATATCATTTAAAAAACAATTTATTTAAATAGAGTATTTTTAGAGTTTATACTGTGATGGTTCAACGAAAATGAAAATGAACATTGAAATGAAACTTAAATCACAAATATACTAAATTTCTATTATACGTCCAGATGAAAACATTTTATTCACAAATTATGATATTTATATTTACCTTATCAATAGATGCATGAAGTTTTCCTGAACCACACTCCACAAGATCCATATCTGACTTAAATGTAGGATCATTCAAATCAACCGATAAAGTTTTCCAAAATAAGACTCCATTTTTACAGAGTATTCCACCCATTGGTGGGACGGTTATTCAACGGTTTTTTTATAATTACGAACAGTTCGCGTTCACAAATCTGATAAAAGATGGTTATATAGGTTTTAGACGATTAGTATGGTCACGATTTGAGGTTTATAAATGGACTTCTTATTTGTTAAAAAAATTACAACCAGTCACATTAACACACATATGTCCATAACAAAATAATTCACCAATCAAATTTACTGTTGAAGGTCATAGTGGAAAATTTTGATCGTTAACAGACATGCGTAATATTTGAATGTCAGGAATTTCAACAACAAAAAATTAACAGTACATGAAGAAATATGCTTTTGTGTATTTTATTAGATGGGAACAATCTCCCAGGCTGTGCTATAACAATTATTCAGATTAGTTGATTTAGTTTAATGGTTTAAATGGAGATTTAGTAATGCAAATAAGATTTAAAGCGTGAATGTGGAAAGCGATTTAAAATAATCTTTCTAAAATGTCCCTGAGTATTTGACTTGTTAATATAAGTGCTCACAATGAATTGTCACCTATTTAAGTTAAAAATTTATTGAATATTTTGACCAGACACCGAGAATGTTCAGTCAATCGAACTTAGGTTAACAATTTAGCTTACAGCTTTTTTACTCATCATTTTAAAATAAATGAAAAAGCATTATAAAAATGACATGCAAAATTAACTACTTTTATCTCAGGAAGATCTAAACCAAAATTAGTGTTGAGTTCTTGCTCGTTGAATAGCTTATTTCTTATCAGTTCAAAACTTTTTCAACTATGTGAGAATAAACGAGCGAAAGGTTTTTTATGAAATGCTTATTCATAGACTTAATATTCTTACATTAAACAAATTCAAGGGACATCACGAACAGAATAGATAGCACAAGATAATCAAATATATGTGCTACTTATCGTACTGAGATATGAGAATCAAGGCCAAATCACATCTGTGCCAGTCTTTGAGTTGATGATGATCTATTTATTGATTACATCTTTCAAGAATGTATTTATTATTACACTTCACAATGGGTATCAGATTGTAATCTATAATAAATATATCATCCACCTCAACCGGTTAGATATAAAATATCATTGGGAATTATACTTGTTTATGATAGGATCACCCTTGAAAATCCTTTCAACATAAAAATACCTTGAAAAGACGTCGCTCCGAGTAACCTCCTTAACACTCATTATCATTAGTAATTAGACCAGTTAAAACTGTATTCTACAATAACTTGAATCATTATTAAACATTCTTATATCAGACCAATATGACGAGAACAGGTTTTTTCCAAATCACTGAATGAAGTTTTTCGAAATGTTTACCCAATAGCTTAAAGGATAAGCTAGAGCAAAGAATATTAGATTGAAAAGTTTCAATCAGGATTGATGTACTGATAAGAGCGACAGAATTTTTGGATCGAGAAGAGAAAATACTTGTAGTTATCGTCATTTTTGAAATATGTCATTTGATAACATAAAATAAACTATGCATACTTAACAAGGTGTGTGTTTTACTCTCTAGTCATTGAAAGGCATTTTCAGAACTATTGTGACAAACATTAGAAAAATAATTGAACTTATCTACTGAAGAATTAAAAGATACTAGTGGTATGAAAATACTGATTTTCAGCTTTGATTTAAGAATCATTAAAAATCGCGTAATAAAAGACCTTATAATATTTTAGTCTAGTTCTTCGAACTTCCAAATAATCGAACTCAGTTTACATTAGCATACGAATTCATGTACCATTAAAAGTAATGGAGAACGGCATAAACGATTGGTAAAATAATACAATTAGTTGTGGTTGTGCATTAATTATCGAAAATCTGATTAAATTACGAGACGTGATTCATTACTTGATTAAATGCACTATCTAGGTCAGCACAATTTTCGATGTTTAGAAATCAGGTTGAGTTTTTTGATCAGTTTGTTGATAAGCAATGCATGTAACCGAGTTTTAGAAAAGTTGACATTATTTAAAACTAGGTCATTCCAAAGCACCTTAAATAATTTCTAAGGATCATATGTTCAATTACATATTAAATAATAATGATTTCAGATTCTTTGAAGACTATGATTTTCGAATGAGTAGAACAATCTCAAAAGTCTTGTAATTAGTTGAGCAATTATAGCAAACGAACCATATAGTTGCATAAGTGAACTATAATTTCATTGAAAATCAGTTTGTGTTGAACACCAATACAAACATTCAGACCACTGGTATTATAGTGTAATCAATTTTGCACGGTAAGAAAGAAAAAGGCCTAGTTCGTTGTAATTAACATGTTACACTTCCCAGAAAATAATTATTCTATAAGGTACCAATAGTGTACTTCACCTATCACTTTCGACATAATATTTTTTTCAACGCAGGTTTATTACACAGATTAACTATAAGACGTTGTAGTAACTATAAAATCTTAGTAAGCCTGAGGGTTAGATTAGTTTGCGATACTACTGTCAGTATGAATATAATTTCTGTTGAGATTACTCATAAAGCATATATCCAGTTATTGGAGACCATGAATAATCTGGCATTCAAGTAATAGATTTATAAACACCGATAATGTATACGGCTTAAAAAATCTGACATTAGCTAACACAACCAGAGACAATTCAACTTGTAACATAGATATCTGTGGTCCATACTGACGCCTACAATTGTGATAAATGTATTATTAATCGACAATCATCGGTTCCACAATCTATCATCAGCTTGCATGAATTCAGGTTGGGGCTTTATATCCGTTTCTGCATCGTAGAGAACTATCGGATGTTTTTAGCACAAGGAAAAAGGAACAAAACCTTATCATTCTTTTAGGCAGGTAGATAATTAAGTAAGCTAGATGAGCACTCAAACACTATGAGAAACGATTTTCAAACAAGAGACCATAGAAAGAAGCTTTTGCCTAGACATGTTCTACTATCACGGTGCTGTAGTGTTCATGTTTCAACTAGACATGGCCAATGAATTGTGGAGAATATAAATGTACTAGTCGACTTCTTTAAGCAACTAGTAAATAAAGACTTTCTCTTAAATTCAGAGCAGTGTAAAGATTGAAAACAAGATAGTGATGAAGCATCGCAGCCTGAAAAAAATCAATATGAGTGAAGACCAAATAATAGATGAATTACATCAAAAATAAATTGACCCATGTAGTAAGTAGCAAGATTCATGGGAAAATTCAAATATGAAGTAGAAAAACAGACATCTGAAGTTTGTGTATAATAATTCATTATAGTCTTTTTAAAGGAACTTTTTGCTCAAATTTAATTTATTTGTGTACAATATTTCTAATTGCTATCGTCTATAAATACTTTATTATTAAGTTTCTGTTCAATTTGTTTGTAATCAAGATGAGAAATAGACGAACCAACTTGAGCTGGTTTTCCTATGTTGAATAGGTCATTCGGAAATAATCCTCTTTTTCTTTACAATTTTAGGATTGGTTTTTTGAATAATAATGTTTGATTTCAAAATTTCTTTCTGTTGATTTGATGAACGATGAATGTGATGAAGACAATGCTCCATAGTGAAGGAACTTTTGTAGTACTGAATAGAATAGACAAGTTGATGAATGATTTTCTCATGTTTAAAATCATTTTAATTTAATGGTTCGGTTAAAATCTTAGTCTTTAGTCAACCCGAAATTAAACTAAAGTCTATCTACATCCTACTGAATGGTTTAATTTCACTCGGCATTCAGCTATCTGATCATGTTCTACTTCTATTTATCCTTATTTTAAGAAAATAAACAATGCCTTAATTTATGAGATCTTAACAATCTATTTGTACTTTTTTGTTGATGACATTCAAAGTTGAATTTTGACCATTTTTCTGTTGGAATATGTCCTACATGGAGAGGATGTTTCAATAATTTTGGATTCTTACTGTCTGTTTTTTAAATTTTCATTCTTTAACAAATGATATAAATATGTTAGCATTTGATCATTGGTTAAGAAAAGTCAAGTGGAGAGACACACAAACATATAAGATAACATTGAATTTATCAATAAACATTCACTTATTTAAGGTATTACTTAGAACCAAAATAGAGATGTGTAAGTTAGATTAAAAAACTGAAGAAAAAATTAACGAAGGATAATAATTTTCACAGTAGACTAGAAATCATTGTAATGAAGGACTAGATATCAGTCCATAAATAGTTTATTTCATAAAAAACAAAATCTGACGTACGACTTCCTGATGTCGGAGAGAAATTTGGGAACTTACGATTAGATTCGAGGAATATGTTTGGAAAACCTTGTTTATCATGTCATCTTTTAACGTTACTTTCTATTTCAAACATTATACTAACATTTATCAGTGACGTTATTAACTATATAGTTTAATTATGTAAACATTTGTTTGTAGTACCATTTTCCTTTTTATCTGCTAACTAGTATTTATGACCTCATATCTTTCCTTATAAGGCTTTCAAGCTAAAAATGTATATCATTATTAACGAATAGGTTTATTATATTGCGTCTTCTTCCTGTTTTTATGATTTTCTATCCAGTTTTGAATTCACCTTTATTGAATGAGGTTTGTAGAACTGTATTTATAATAACATTACTTATTTAAACATAAGAGAGTTCACAGGTGATAAAAAACCTCGAAATAGAATGAATTTATTTTATTCTGTACAGTTTGCCTCATTTATATTTATTTTAGATTACATTCAAGAGTAATGAAACGCGCGAAAATGTTAACTGACACAAACTGATTCGGGGAATAATGAAAATACCAATATCAATCTTTCAATTATTTGGTTTTTAAATAGTTTCAAAAATGATGAGTCATTTAAGTGGCATTGGAAGTAGTAGTAGTATTACTGGCAATAAGAATTATTAGACAATGTTTAGTTCCATAATATTTAGTAGTAATAATATATTTCGAAATGAGAAATATAAAAGGAATAGATCTTTTCTTAAGTGATTTTGAAGTTCCAATGAATAGATCGAAAATAGTTTCTTGTGTGATGTTTCACTTTATTTATGCTTGTTATCTCTCGTGAAATAAAGGCTGTCAAACAGCGAATTCCAAGCAATTCCGTCCCGGGCTTTTCTTCTCAGTTGTTCCCAAATGCTGTC